TATTACAGTGGAGGAGTACAATCCAATGAGACTACACTACATTGCAGCAAGAGCACAGGTAATGATAAACCATGTGTACTGTATAGCTGATATTATTTGTAAATTTGTAGTTTTGATAGGCATTCATATTCAAAAATTATGTGTATAAAAATATTTATACGCTCAGTTCACATTCAAATTCAATAATCAATCACCAAAAATTTACTAACAATTACCCATTCAAAATATCAGCTAAATGTACATTGTATAATGGTACTAGAAGAAAAAATTATTATTGGGCTCACTGTTATATAATGGTTGTACATGTACATGCACAGTACTGCAATAATGCTCAGTTTAATAATTGCTAAGGTTTGTAAGGTTTTTAAGGCTTAGTCTTAAGGTGATTTTAGTTGTACACGAATAATAATAATATTTTAAAATTTTCATCTTCCTTTTCTTTCAATAGACTCTTTGTCTTCATGATCCATTGTTATCGCAGCAGAGAGATCATCTCAACGAACTGACTGTCATGCACAATTGTGATGTGGGTGCACCAAGTGATGGGTCAAGGAACATACAGACCACTGTGTCATCAGGTCGGACAAGCACTGATCCTGTTCAATGGCTGGCAATGAAGCTAATCCAAATAAACAGCGAGGACAGACACAGGAGCAGGTAAAGGCATTTTATGCATGTAAAAAAACAAAAATCTAATGATATATGAGATACCATATAGCAGGTAAATTTGGATGGGTAAAATTTTGGCGAATTGCTAAATTTTGGTGATTGGCTGTTTTTAATTTGGCGAATTTGTGGCCACGTGCCATTGGCCATTGAGCATGCGTATAATGGCTCAAAATGGCAGATTTTAATTTTGGCAAATGGCCATCAAAACACCAAATTCGCCAAGTTTAATCCCCACCAAAATTTTCCGCTATAAAATTTTTATAGCGGAAAATTAAATTTTAAATTTAAATTAATTTAAAATTAACTATAAAAATTTTCTGCTATTGGTTTTAATTTTAAAGTGAAGTATGCATCGAAAGGTGTCAAATTGCCCAAATTGATACTAGTTGATGCTAGTCAAATTGATACTAGTGTCATTATCATAAGCCAGGCTTTAGATTCAGTCCTTATATAGTCGTCTAGTTATAATAATCATTAATTATTTTTTTAGGCAAAAGGTTAAAGATTATCAAAGTGCTACACACTTTCTCGATGCGACCACACTGATCAGAGAAACTGATGATGCAAGTGATGAACCACAAGTTCCTCATAAGACTCCAATCAAATATATAAGAGGAGAAGAAATTAATTTACAATGGAGCTAGCTACTAGTGACCTTATTGTTATGCACATACTACATCTTTTAACTAGTGACTGGAAGTATATGTATTTTATACAATTTAGGGCAACTATTTTATTTATTTTTGTTTTACATAATGTAACTATAAGATCAAGGTTACCAAAAAGACTGTGGCATATTGTACTCAAAATTTGACAAGACAACTTATGTTGCATTGAAAGTTTGAGCTGATTCCGATCAAAATTGGATTTTTTGGGAATTTCTCAAGTTGC